TAGTTGAGCTTGGGTTGCTTCTGGCACCTTAGTGAGAGGGATTTACCTTCAGGCTGACTGGCTGTGAGGATTGGCTGTGATTACAGTGGACAAGTTGTTGTTCAGGGGCTTACTCTACGGAGCAGGATTTGATTTAGCTGGGCTCTGTTGCCTTCCGAGGCCACTCTTTTTGGTGTGTCATTGTGGAGCTAATTGCGAGGTGCTCTGTTGTGATCTGAAGCCGGCCATTGGGTGTCTTGCTTCTGATGCCTTGTTAGCGGCTCCAGTGCAGGCCCAGGTCAGCCACTGCCTGTGCTCAGCCAAGGGCCACCTTGTGGAACTACAGAGTGATCTGTGGTTGGTAGCTGTCTGTGCTGGGCTTGGCGACATCTGGGAAAGTCTGCGGTGTAGTTTGGAGGCCTGCTGTCACTAGTGATGACCTTGGGACCCCTTAATAAGAGGTACAGGCCACACCGAGGCCAGCTACTGCTTGTTTGGTATTTGTGGACTTTTGTGAGATTGTAAGAAAGTCCACAGCAGGAACCGAGACCAGCCACTTGTGAGGAAAAGCTGCTGAAAGAGATTAGGGCTGGTGTGCAAGTTGGGGGAGGTAAAGTCTCAGGGAATCACCCAGGTTTCTTTGGGGCTAGCCTTGTTAGCCAGGTTGAGGGAGACTCAGATTTGGTGCCCACCTGTGCCTGCCAGCTGTGTTAGGGGAGGGCTCAACAAAGGAGCAATAGTGCCTGCTGCCACTTCAGTCCTGGAGAGGCCTTCTCTAGCCCACACCCTGAAGCTATATAATTCAGTTTCTCCCTGTATGTCCCTGGCACTTTTTGAGCTGCTGTCCCTTCGCTGGAGCCCAGCGTGAGTACCTGTGAGTGAGTGAGTTTGTATGTAGGCCCTTTTAAGAGGAGGTCTGGGTTTCCAGCTACCCTCTGTCTCACCCAGGCAGAATCCCTGCTGATTTTCAAAGCCTGATGTTGTGGGTACTCCTCTTCCTGGCTGGAGCCCTGGGCTGGGGGAGCCTAGTATGGGGCTGGGACACCTCACTTATCTGGGGGGGACCACTGCAGCTGAGAGATTCCTCCTATTTCTTAATCACCGTTTGTGGATATGGGACCTGCCCATTCTGTGTCTGCCCCTCCTGCCAGTCGCGACATGACTTCTTCTGTTTGTCCTTAGTTATAGGAATTCTGTTCACCTAGTTGCCAGGTCATTCTCAGTGATGGTTGTTCTATAATTTAATTGTAATTTGGGTGGTTGTGGGTGGAGGCAAGCACAGTGTTTACATACTCTGCCATCTTGAGTGGAGTTCATCTTTTATTTCTTACCTTTTCCCCCCAGTATAAACTGACAGTTTATTATTCCAACTGTTATAAACCATTCTTGCCATGATTCAAACTCAGGTTGTTCTGGTTTGGTCAGTGGCAGTTCCCTTGGGCTGGTTCCTGTGGCTTAAAAAAAAAAAAAAAAGCTCATTGATGTGAAATTTGCATAACTTAAACTTTTAACCATTTTAAAATGAACAACGCAGTGTCATTTATGACACTCACAATGTTGTGTAACCACCAGCTTTATCTAATTCTAAAACATTTTGATTTTCACAAAAGAAAACTCCTTACCCATTAAGCAGTTTCTCCCCTCTACCCCCTCCCTCAAGCCCCTGGTAACCACCAATCTACTTTCTGTCTCTGTGGATTTCCCTTTTCTAGATAGTTCATATAAATGGAATCATACCACAATATGTGACCTTTGTATCAGGCTTCTTTCACTTTACATTGTATTTTCAAGGTTTATCCACATGTAGCATGTGTCAGTACTTCATTTCTTTTTATGGGTGAGTGTTCTCCGTACTGTTTTTTTATAATTAAAACCGTGAACCATTATCCCTCATGCCTGTCTCCCACTGACTCTTTATTTTCACCTTTATTTTTCTGGCCGTGGGATGGTTTAAGTCACAGCTTGACAGAGTTGCCTCGTCTTCCACATTTGTCAGATATTTAGGAGGACTGTCTCATGACAGTAGAGCAGGAGCCAGAAGCTGCCTGGCACCTCAGTTACGTGATCATTCAGACCCTCACACATAGAGACGCCCTTCATGCAGGGCCAGAGCTCCCTCCCGTCCTGCCTGCGTGTAGAACCCAGTTAGGAAATTGAAAATAGATTTACATCAAGATTCATAGACCAACATCCTGCCCAGCCTTCTTATTTTTTCAGAGTTTACCTCAGGACTGGAGATGTTCCGATGTGCTGATTTGAGTGAACTTTTGTCAACTGCATCTCCATCTCAGCAAGATGAAATGGGATAAGGGTGAATTAGCAGATTACACAGGCAGGCTGGTTTTAGAAAAACAAAACCTTTGTGGTATTTGAAATGAGCTAGTCTTTGAACTCAATTGAAAAGTGTGGTACCCAGGAACTGGTTCTAATTTACTTAGAGAACTAGAGAAAGAATTCTTTTTTTTTTTTTTTAAAGATTTTATTGGGGAGTTGCGGGAGGGGGCAACAGTGTTGGGGAATTGGAGAAGGGGAACAGACAAGTTGTTGTCCTTTTGTTCTTCAGTCTAGTTGTGGAGAATGTTGCTTCATCGGGCCCATGTTGGTGTTATCATTGCGCTCTTCCCGTCTGAGGCAGTCGCTCACCGGCCACTCACAGTAGCTTACGGCAGCCCACTGCAGCTTCACTGCAGCCTACGCCATCGCTGGTGACTCACAGCAGCCCAGCTCTAGGTCGAGCTGTTGTTCACCATCTTAGCTGTAGAGGGTGCAGTGTCACTGGCCCACATGTGGGATCCGAACCCGGGCCCTGCTGCTCAGAGCTGGCATCCCAAGCCGACTCCTAACCAACATGCCACTCGGCCAGCCATGGAGAAAGAATCCTTAATAGAGGATGATCCTGGCCAAGTAGAAATCTTGTGGAAAGCAGTGTCTAGATAGAGGAAGAGATGCAATGATGCGAGAGTTTCAGGCATGTTGGGGTATGCTGAGGAGGTTCTGTTCGATTGGCCGGGAATGGTAACAAGGGCTCTGATTCTGCACTTAGGGTGGCCCGGGGGACCTGGTGAACTGCCTGGCAAGGTTTGACCGAGGGCACACTGGGAAGCAGAGGGAGAAGTGCTGTAGTGAGGGTCAGTGAGAGAAAATAAAAGAAAACAGACTCTCAGGATAGTGCTTAGGGCGAGATGAATTGTAGTAGGGCCCGTCAAAGGGGCAGATGAGAGGGTGGACTGGGAACTGAAGGCAGAGGAGTGTGTGAGCTACCGAGGACAATTTTCTGCTTGGAAGTAAAAGATAAGAAACTCTTGGAGAATGACCAGGGGAAAGAAACAGGGCTCGCTGAAATGAAAGAAACTTAGCTCTCCCAGATATATGAAAGAAACCAATAAACCTGAGGATGACAGACTTCACGATGATAGAATCAAAAGCAGTACAGCTGACTGACATAAACATAGCAGAAGGGGAATAGACCTTGGGCTGATGACTAAAGAAGTGAGTGAGAAATAACTAAAATAGACTAAAGGAAATCACATGTCAGAATATTTGGTCTCAACTCCGGTATTTTACTTAGGATTGTGCTTGTTTCTCAGTCTGAAGTAGCATTGTCAGTGCTTTGTGAGAACTCCTTTTCTTTTTCTGCATCAGAGCTTGTAGTGTCCATCTGTCTCTCTGAGGGGACAGAGCAGTCATCCAGCTCAAGATTTGTATGGTGGGTAATGGGGAAAAAAAATTCTGTGTGTGTGTGTAGTTTCTTTCTTTCTTTCTTTCTTTCTCTCTCTCTCTCTCTCTCTCTCTCTCTCTCTCTCTCTTTCTTTCTTTCTTTTTTTTTTTTTAAACAAAGCCCAGTGGTTTACAACCCTCTAAATAAAGGGCACACTTCCAGGGCCGGCCGAGTGGCTCAGTTGGTTAAGAGCTCACTTAAGAGTGCGAGCTCTGAGCAACAGCGGTTCAATGCCTGGCCCGAGCTGAGCTGCTGCTGAGCTGCCAACAGGTGGCAGGATGGCTCAGCTAAAAAACAAACAAACAAAAATAATAAAGGGCACACTTCCAGTTTTAAAAGCCATGTGTGAACTATGGTTCCCATTTCTCAGAGATCTGTTATATTTGTAATATGTATGCAATTTTAGTGCAAAGCTCCTGTGCAGTAAAATTTCAGTATCCTAGCCTAGTAGTTCATGCCTGGAGGGCTTTATTCTCTGTTTTATTGTTAATAAGCATAACCTCAAGCTTGTAGAGCTATCCTAGCTGTATGTACTGCTTCTCTGCAAAGGGATTCTGCTCTGCTTTCTGACAGAAACCCTATGGGCTTCTGTCTGATCAGGGTGTTAGATAATTATTTGTAAGTACCTGGATAGTGGCTATTTAGCCCTTAGCTATATTCCTACGGATTGGGTTAAATTGTAAGCCCTGGCACAACTATTAGCGTCTGGCAAGTCTGGCTTATTGTTTGCTGTTTGTCAAGAGTCACTGGAGGATTTCGGGTCAATTTCAATAGAGAAGAAATAGAGGTGACTCTTCCATCAACTTTTGTGTGTTGTATTCATCATTCTGAACCCCCTGGATTGAACAGATAAACATCTTGGCCCTCCAAGTTAAAAAACAATCACTTTTTTTTTAGAAAGAGCAGATTATTCAGCCATAAAATGGAATGAAGTACTGATACATGCTACAATGTGAATGAACGTTGAAAACATTATGCTAGGTAAAAATGGCCACATATTGTATGATTCCATTTATATCAAGTACCCAGAATAGGCAAATCTATTGAGACAGAAAACTTATTAGCCAGGACCTGAGATGGGAAGGAGAAATGGGGAATGACTGCCAGTGGGTACGGGGTTTCATTTTGGGAGATGAAAATATTCTGGAACTAGAAAGTGATGATGGTTGCATAACATTGTGAATGTACTTAATGCCACTGAATTGTATACTTTAGAATGGTTAAATTTAATTTTGTTTACAATAAAAACATACCAAATAAATACTAATTCAGTTTCATAGCTGTTTATTTGCTCTTATTGTAGGTATTTTGCTAATGAACCATTTGCTGACTTCCACCGCGTGGAAGGGTTACAAGGAGTCTACATTGCTACTCTGATTAATGGTTCCATGAATGAGGAGAACACGCGATCAGTCATCACCTTTGACAAAGGGGGAACCTGGGAATTTCTTCAGGCTCCAGCCTTCACAGGATATGGAGAAAAAATCAGTTGTGAGGTATAGATGCTTTAATCTTGTTTGGGTTTTTATTATAAACATTTATCTGTAGTTCCACCCTTACAGTTCCCAAATTCTGTACCAAGGCACATAAGGGTGACATAGTGAACTCACAGGGGCACCATGGACATTTTAAATTTTTGAGGGAAACACTGTGATACTTAACATATGTTAGTCACCATGTGAATTATTATCTTGAGTTCGCAGTTTTTTTGTTTTTGTTTTTGTTTTTTTTAAGATTTTATTGGGGAATTGGGGGAGGGAACAGCGCTGGGGAATTGGGGGAAGGGGAACAGACAAGTTGCTGTCCTTTTGTTCTTCAGTCTAGTTGTGGAGGACGTCGCTTCACTGGCCCATGTAGTTCGCAGTTCTAACATTAGCTCATGCTGTATTTCTTTTGATGACATATCTTTGTTAAGCTGAATTTTCAGCAGTTGATATGATAGAAAGCAAGTGAGAACATGAGAGTGGAACAGGAAATGACAATAGTAATGTCTGATATGATTGCAAAGTTTTGTAGTGCCCAACAGGTGCACACATCCCATTATTAAGTCACTGGTTATTTAAGAATAATGACATAACATTTTTATGTTTTATATATATGAAACTATTATTTCAAACTACTATGAAGTTATTAGGACATATATATTTATTGGTATTTCTTCTGGCTTGAAGCTGCCATAAAATTACTGAGACACCATTTGTGCTGTGAACCAAGAAAATGTGGGAACCTCTCCCGTAATTTATTTCTGTAGGATTTCTTTAAAAATTTCTCTCTGAATATAATTTAGGATTTTAATAACTCTCCCTATAGGTGGCTTCATCTGAAAAACTTAAGAATACTATAAAATGTATTATTTGGTCCCATTAAGTGTCCCCGTATACCTAAGCAGATCCTGTCTTTGCCCTCAGAACAGTCTATGCATTGTGGTCCGTGGCTTCATATGATACATTGCAACTCCATTTTCATTTTGCCTAAGGGTTCTAGGGTGTGTAAAGTAGGTGAGCTGAAGGAACTCAAAAGAAACAAAACACAAAGCAAACAACAAGTAGTACTGATTTTTGGAGAAACTGTAATATTTTAGTGAGACAACTTCCTGGTCTTCTGGATTATTGAATTTTGTTTGTCCATGGTTAAATATGTTGACCTCTTATGTGCTATGTCTGTGGCCCTTGGGAAAATTCGTTTGGATCCTCTTGCTCTGGAGTGTACTTCTTGATTTCTCTTCCGATTTGGCACCAGGTCTCAACTCACCATATCAAATCTAACTTTGGAAAGAGGCAGGATATAAGTAAATGTGGACCAATAAATACCTAGGTGCTCCTCATTTACTCATTAGTGTCTTCTAGATCTTGCGAGCTCTGCATGAGCCTGGTGTAGATGGCAGTCAGGCGTTTTTCAGCATGCAGTGAGGGTCCAAGCCTTGGTTAAGTAGAATGAATGGTATGGTTAAAATTCAGCTTATTATTGCAGTGCTTGATAAGTTTATTTATGAACTGTACAACAGTTAATCAACTTTTAGTTTCTACTTCTCATTTTAGGTGGTGAAAGAAAAGGGGAAAGGTTGAAAAGGTTGGCAGATATTTCTTTGAGACCCAACCCAAGTTGCCCTAGTTTTCATTTGCCAAACTGTGATGCTAGCAAGATGGATTTTGTTAGTGATCCTTTGTTATAAAAAATACATAGATATGTCTAGCAAACCATGCCATAGTTTTTACCTGTATCATAAGCACACACAGAGTTATCCTGTCCAAAACACATTTGATAATCACTTTCTGGCCAAGAGAATCAGGCATGACCATTTAGCAAAAGGCCTTGTTTGCAGAACTATGAAAATCTGAACATACTTGACGGAGGCCAGTGTTAGTAACTTGAATTCTTGCAGGGAACACCTGTATAGACTTTGTACTTTGTACAAGTGCAGCCTATTTAAAAAAATTCAATGTGGATCCTTTGGTGTTTATATCTCATACGTTGTACATCTTGTAGCTTATCAGTGAGACTTTATGACTTCTGATTCTTGGTTTTTCATCTGACAGAATTACTTACATCATATTTGAAATACATCTTCACTGACTTAGAAAGTAAATACCGTGAAATCATTTCATTTCTCTTTAGTTGCAAGTCACATGACAGACTCTCTAGGTAATATGGAGAGAGTGATAGCTTTTCTGTCTACTCGAGTTGACACTGATTTCTCATTGCTATTTCTCTGAGATTCTTAGGAGGAAGTTTTTATTAGTATTCACTTTTCGTCTATGAGAGGCATTTACATGGTTTAGATGATCATGTTCATCTAGGGAGGTGTGGGGACTGCCGGGCTGTGACTCTGGCTTCTTTTGGGCCAGATCTCCTTCCTCTGTGTCTAGCTGCAATGTCTGCACACAGGCCTCAGTGTTCAGGAGATATAGGCATCGCATCAGTTTCTGACAGTGCCTTGTTGTGTTTCCTAGCTGTCCCAGGGCTGTTCCCTCCACCTGGCACAGCGGCTCAGTCAGCTGCTCAACCTCCAGCTCCGGAGGATGCCCATTCTATCCAAGGAGTCGGCTCCCGGCCTCATCATCGCCACGGGTAAGTTTGCTTTGCCTGTGGTCGCTCACGGGTGAAGCCGCTTGGTTATGTGCAGACAAATGCACCATGACCACTGACATCTGCTGCGTTAACTACTGTCTGTAGTTTTGAGACATTCTTTATTGCTAGATCCTACTCAGAATTTCTGGGTGGACAACCTGGTTATCTGACATATTCTTGAATCAAAAATAACTATTCCTCTTGCATTTTAGGTTCAGTGGGAAAGAACTTAGCAAGCAAGATGAACGTGTACATCTCTAGCAGTGCCGGAGCCCGGTGGCGAGAGGTCAGGGCCTCACCTTGGTTCTTATTTGCATGAGAGCGTGGACTGAACGTAGACATTTCAGGGACACATGTGGCCCACGGTGGAGGCCACTGGTGCCAACTATGACTATAAAGTAAAGACAGGTACCCAGAGCCACACACAAGGGTCAGCTGATGTGGGCTTGTGATTTTGCCAGAAAGGCTACTTTGAATAAAAAACAAACATTTAAAACATTTTTTTACTAAATATTCCAAGATTATAAGTTCCATGAGGACAAGGGAGTGTTTGTTCTGCTCACTTCTTTGCCCCTGGGACCTAGCAGTGTCTGGCATGGAGTGAGTGCTCAGTAAATATTTGCTGAATCTATTAGCAAATGATAGTGTGGTTGTAGTGGTTTCAGGCCTGACCCTGGTTATGTATTTATTTTGGTGTATTACTGAAGTTGAAGTCAAGCCTCTTGTCACTGAGTTGTGATGTACTTTCATTTCATTCTGCACCATGGAAGAAGACTGCTTTTGCCTTAAGATTGTATAACTGATTTGGATCCTTAGGCACTGGTTATCCCAATTCAGAAGGTGGAGGTAGTTCCCTCATCCTGAAACTCTTAATTCAGCTGTGGACATTAGGAAATTCCCAAACTTGTAAAACACACAAACAAAAGTTTTTCACCGGTCTCCTAAGACCTCTTAAGTCCGAGGGAAGTGCCTCTGGTCTCATTCTGTAGGGGTTGCTTTCAAAGGTCTCTGCTGCAGCAGGCAGGGAGCACCAGGAGAACTCCGTAGAGGGTTCCACAAGAGCACCTCTGCAGGCCAAGCGTGAAGTCGGGAGGGTTGTGGAGTTCTCAGAAGAGCTGGCAGAGAGTTCCCCAATTGTGGTGATTCTTATTGGGAATGCTGTGTGTACACTTTCATATTGAAATATGTTATATGTAAAGCTGTAATAAAACCCAACCTTTGTGTGGCTTTTCGCAATTAAAGAGACCTGTCACATACCTTATCTCATTTGAGGTAGAGCTTACGATCCCTTTAGCTGAGAGATCTGGGTCTCTGACGCTGCCTTGTGTATGCGTGCATGTGCGTGTGTGTGTGTATGTGTGTGCGCGCGCACGCGCGCGTGTGCACAGGTGTGTGCCAATTAAGGGCTATCCAGTATGGTAGAAATATAAATACTTATTCAGATGAAGGAGGCTGTTAAGGCCAGAATAGTCAAAAAGTGTGAACAGTTTGGAATTTTCAGGGCATCCTTGTCCTGCTCACATGGGAAAGATGCTTTCCTCTTCCTTGGAGCTGGACATTCCTGTTGAAATTGGGTGCTGTGTCCTCGGTGGGTAGACTTGTGATTTGTTGGTACCTTCTGATGTGGTGTGATCGGGGATTTGAACGTCTGCAAGTGATTTCCTTCTGGGTAGAAAGCAGTGTCTTGTTCCTCCTCCAGCGAAGTGGTATCATCCGGCTGATAACTGGGGCAGCTGTCAGTGCTTCCTGCCAAGAATACTTCACGCCTGCCAAGGAGCAGCCATTGCAGAAGGGACCTTATTTTTGGAAGTAGCAGAAAACTAACTAGGGGATGAAAAGTTGGAGACTGTCTGTGTGAGTGGGCATCTGAGTCCCTGTTGGCAGCCTTTACTTTAGAGGGACAGTCTGGAATGTGTGAGGTCTAGATGGTGGAAGGGGAAGAGGAAATAGGACGCAGTGGACAGAGTGCTGCCTAGAAAACGGGACCTATAAATTCTTGTTCCTTTTCTGCTACTAATTAGTTGTTCAAATTCTTTGTCTTTGACTGATCAGTTATTTAGAAAAGGGTTGTTTAGTTTTCAGATATTTGAAATTTTCATATATACCTTATTGTTGATTTCTAATTTAATTTCCTTGTAGTCAGAGAATACACTATGTGTGATCTCAGTCCCTTTAAATTTATTGGGACTTGCTTTGTGATCCAGTATGTGGTCTGTCTTGGTGAATATGTCATATGCATTGGAAAGGAATGTGTATTCTGCAGTTGTTGGAGGTAGTGTTCCATAGATGCTATTTATATGGAGTTGGTTGACACTTTGTTGCTCAGATCTTCCATGTTCTTATTGCCATTTTTGGGGGCAATTTACTTCTGTAAATTGCTGAGAGAGAGGTGGTAAAATCTCAAACTACGACTGTGGAATTGTCTTCTTTTTCTTTTAATCCTGTCAATTTTTGCTTTATATATTTTGAGGCTTTGTTATCAAGCGCATGTGTATTTATAATTATTTTTTGATAAACTGTACCTTTTGTATTATGAAATATTCTTCTTTATCTATGGGATACCCTTTTTCTGGTTTTGAAATAGTCCCTCCGGCCTTCTTATGTTTACTGTATAGATAGTATATGTTTTACCATTCATTTACTTTGTACCTATCTGTGTCTTTATATTTGAAGCATTTCTCATAAGCAGCGTAAATTGTAGGATCTTGCTTTTTCATTCATACTGCCAGGATCTACTTTTTTTTATTTTCTTTTAAAGATTTTATTGGGGAATTGGGGGAGGGGAACAGACAAGTTGCTGTCCTTTTGTTCTTCAGTCTAGTTGTGGAGGACGTTGCTTCACTGGCCCATGTTGGTATTGTGATCACTACGCTCTTTCCGGATGAGGCATTCGCTCGCCGGCCATTGGACTGCTGCTCACAGCAGCTCATGGCAGCTCACGAAAGCTTATGCCAGCCCCACTGCAGTGCCATCGCTGGTGACTCATGGCAGCCCAGCTCCAGGTCAAGCTGTTGTTCACCATTTTAGCTGTAGAGGGCACAGTGTCACTGGCCTGCATGTGGGATCCAAACTGGGGCCCTGCTGCTCAGAGCTGGCGTCCCAAGCCAATGCCTAATCAACGCGCCACTCGGCGGGCCCCAGGCTCTACTTTTTAATGGTCTACTGAAGCACTTAGAACATTAGCATTTAATATAATCATTGTTGTGGTTGGATTTAGGTCTAATATTATTTATTTATTATACAAATTTAATCTTTTGTGGTCTTTTTTGAATTAATATTGCACTTAACATAATATTACATACACTTACCATAAGTTTTTGAAATCTTGCAACCTATATAAATCCCTTTTCTCTCCCCCTGACCTTTTTGTTATTATTGTTCTATGTGTCATATATGCATACGTTGAAAAATCCACAGTGTTTTTGTTTTTGCTTTAAATTATGATATCAATTTTAAACAACTTAGGAGGAAAAAAGCAGCATTTTTTGTTTGCCCAGATATTTACCATCTCTCTTGCTCGTCTTTCATTCTTGCAGATCTGTGTTTCCCCGATAAGTTTCTCTACACCCTGAAGAAATTCCTTTAGCATTTCTCACAGAGCCGATCTGGCTATGCATTTTCTTGGTTTTCCTTTGTTTGAGAATTTCTTTATTTCACCTTCATTCCTGAAGGCTATTTTTGCTCAAGATAGAATTCTGGGTTGATAGTAATGTTCTCTCAGTACTTTAAAGATGTTGCTACTATCTTCTTGCTTCCCTGGTTTCCGATGAGGAATCTGTAGCTATTTCACTTACCACTTTCCTGTGTTTAATTTGTCAGTTTTCTCTAGATGCTTCAAGATTTTTTCCCCCTTATTTTTGGTTTTCAGCAGTTTTGTTATGATGTCTCTAGATGTGGTTTTCTTTGTGTTTATTCTTTTTGGGGATACTTATCTTTTTTGGGGGTAGAAACACTGATCTTGAACCTATAACTTTGTGTTTTTCACCCAATTTGGGAATTTTCAGCTATTATTTCTTCAAATATTTTTTCTGCTCCGTTCCCCTTCCCTTGTTTATCTTGGACTCCAATTACATGTTAGATCTTTTCTTATTGCCCCTCAGGTTCTTGGTGCTCTCTTTTTTTAAAAAATAATTTTTCCTGTATTTTCTTTAGAAGGAATAATTTCTACTATTCTATTGGGTTGTCAGGAAAGTCATGATGCATTTTTGCAACGAAAAACATAGAAAAAATATGTCATGACTTTTCCGACAACCCAATATATTTATCTATATAATTCCTTTGTCATTTGTATTCTGTTGTTGAGCCTATTAGTGAATTTCTTATTTTAGATATTATATTTTTCTGTTTAAAATTCTTTTCTTTTGGTCCTTCTTTTCTTTTTTAAATAGTTTCCACTTCTCTGGGAAGAATTCTTATGTTTCATTTATTTCAAACGTATTTTTTTTTACCTCATGGAACACAGTTACGATAACTATTTTAAAGTCTTTGGTAATTCCAACATTTGGACCATCTTGGGATTGGTACCTGTTAATTGTCTTTTGAGAATTGGACACATTCTATTGATATGTTTGTATATTGATTAATTTTGGATTGTATTCTGAACAATGAATGAAATGCATAAAATGAAATCTTCTGAATGATGTGGATATTTTTGTTTTAGCAAGTAATGAACCTGTTTAGACTCATACCATAAGTTCTGTCTTGAATTCTATGGATGGTAGTTGAAATCTCAGTTCAGTTTGCTAAGCCTTTGCTATGATGGTTTGAGTCTGTTTCACAATTACATAGTGTAGGGGTCAGGCTGAGACTTATATGAGCTCATACACAGAATTAGAGGATTTACTTCTTCAACACTCTCTCCTCTAGGAGTCCACCTACATTCTCCCTGGCCTGTAAGGGTTTCTTTTCTTGGTTTCCTTAGAGGAAACAGTTTGTGTTGAAGTTTTAGCTATCTGGCTGGGATGGTGGTGTCCCACACTGGGGCTTTCCTTGGGGCAAGACCATACCAGGAAACCCAACTGTGTGGGTAGGTTTTAAATCACCTTCACAGGCTACCTTATTTTGTGTATTTTTCTACATCTTTGTATTTTGTCCAAAGTTTTTAGTTGTAATCAGCAAGAAGGACGGGCTTATTACTATCGTAGTTGAACCGGAACTCTAGTTGGTAAATTTTTAATCACTTTTTGGTGAGAGTCAGAGATTCGGATTTGACTCCTACATCTACAGTCTGCCACTTTAATAGCAATTCTAGTTTCCTCATTTGGAGAAGAAAAAAAAAAATTGGGACGTGAGAACTTGCTCTGCCCATCCCTGGGGTTGTGTGGAGCAAGTGAGATAATGGGTGTGAATGTGCTTTGGAAACTGAAAAGTTGTATTCAAGTGGTTGGCGTCACTGCTGTGTGTGTGTGTGTGTGTGTGTGTGTGGTGTTCATGGTTTCTGCCTAGTCACCTCCACAGCAGTGGCATCAGCATTGGCTTTTCCTCTTCAGGCACTTCCCGGACCTCACTACTATACTTGGGGAGATCATGGCGGCATCATCATGGCTATCATCCAGGGCATGGAAACCAACGAGTTAAAGTAAGTGTCTCTGATGAAGCTTTTTCTTTTAACATTGCACTGTTCTCCCAGAAATTTAAGTCTGATTATGAACTGGGTTATTTCTCTACATCATTAGATTGTTGACGGTACAATGTGTGACATCAAGAAATCACTTAAACTTTGCTTGTCTGTAAAATGGGAATGAATGATAATCTTCCCTTCTTATCTCCAAGGGGTTCCATGAGGAATAAATGAAATAATTTTATTGATTTGGAACAGTACAACTCTATATATAAAGTTAATCCTGACTAAAACATTAACTAGAGATTGTTTAAATTGTCTTTCATTGCGTTGTGTGTGACACACACAGATTTAGTCATAGAATAAGTAACAGTAAATAATTACAATAAACGAGTAATAATTTCACAATGCATATTCTGAAGAGCCAGTTGACCTTGAGAGCCAATTGACTTTTGCTGTGATACATTTGGTTTTGGAGGTTCTTACAAATAGACCTGGAAGGGACATTTGGGGTTAATCACTTCATTTTACAGGTGAGAAAACTGAGGCTCAGCAAGGTGTAAAGTAACTTACACAAAGCCTCCCCATTTGTTAGTGACAGGAAAGGCTAGCACTCAGATTTTTAAATTGCGGTCTCAACTCTTTGCAATATATTGCTCTGAAAAGCAAAAATGTCAAAAGTTACCTTTTGCCTCTGCCTCCTGAAGTCTGATTTTATCAGAACCGGTCCTTTGATTACTTTTGTCCTGGACAAAAGTTAATTTTGTTAACATTAGGCCAGGGCAACCTGGGCCTCACATCTCTGTTTTTGAGCTGAACCCATGAGATGAATTACTGAAGGAGATGGAGAGGGCTTCTGTAATCATCTTTAGTACAGGGAAGAAAGGCTTTTTCTTTGTTCCTTTTAGAAACAGCCAGCACCAAGAGAGAGGTGGGTGGTTTGAAAAAGAGATCTTAGCAGATGGTTTACCCTGTGATTAATTTGACATGTGCTGAGCAGCCTGGCCCCGAAAGAAGCAGAGAGAAGCAAAATACTGGCTTTGGGCATTCCACCTGGTTGTTTTCTGGTCAGTGTGGCCCTGGTCAGCTGCTTTTTTTTAGAGCCAAGAATCAGAAGAGGCCTTATTTGTAAGCAACACTTTGTATCCACATTTGGTTTGGCGTTTGCTCTGATGAACAGTCACAAAGCACAGTTCTTCCCACATTATGCTGTCATTTATTTATCCATTAATTTATTAATTCCCATCTCACACATTTAGCAAGCTCTAATTCTGGTATGATAAATAGGATGTTTCTCCCCACTCTGAAGGAGTCCATCCTCTAGTACTGGTAAGATACACAAAATAAACAATGTGATGCTTGAGACACTACCATGAGAGAAATGTGGTAAGGGACATAGTTTGACTTCCTAGAAATACATTTCATTCTTTGTATGGCAGTCAGATTGTAAAGTCGGTTCCTGATTTTTCCTTGTTTCGCTTTTCTACAGATTACATTTGCATTCCAGGCTGGCTTCTCTGAAAGTAGTTCGCACGATTCTAGTCCTCTTACACCATCTGTCGGTACATATGTGCTCAGGGAACACAGCGTCATTGCTGCAGTAGCTGGAGCAACACATGATTAGGAAGATAAACCTACTGCCAGAAAAAAACAATGCCCTCCTCAGACATTTAAAAATGACTTGGGGTTATAGACTTAGGGGATCATGGACACTACAGCATTCCTCTATTTGTACAGGTCATTTGGAAGTGTCTGTATGTATGGTTCATATAAAGCATTTGCAAATATGAAAATATGTACAGGCCTCCTATTGATAGATGCATGTGTCCCAAATATCAGCCTGAGCTTGGCCTAAATCTGTGTAGCCACCTGGCATCTACTTCGTAGATTGCTCACAGAGGTTTTTTTTTTTTTTTTTGCTTCTCTTTCTGCTGCTCTGCTTTTGACCTGTCACTACCAGCTTCATCAGGAAATAACACTGTAGTTAGTTCATATCCTCAAGCCACAGTGGCAATTAACTGATATACATGTGCGTGAGTGAAGGCTGCTCCGGACCCGACTGGATTTCTGTTGCTAGTCTAGGGCTTCAGGCCTCTTCTCTGTCTAGCCTCCCCCACCACAGTGGTCACTCTCTCCTTTCAGTCTCAGCATTTATTGACTGTCTCATTATTTTGGCATTGATCACATACTGATTCCGTTTGTTAGTTACCTTTTCATTGCATTCCTGAATTCCTCAATTCATTAGTAAGGTCTTTGTAGACAAGTGTTTTTATTCTTTACAGGTTAGCAGGCACTTCGTAAATATTAGATTGCTCAGTAAATAGGTCATGCACATGTAGTCTTCCAAGATTGCATATTTAAAAAAAAAATTTTTTATACTAGTTTATGAAACCGGAAGGGGCATGATAATGTGGAAGTTGCATAGCCCTAGGGTACAGGGTACTCCTCCCTTTGTGCTCTTTGTAAACAACAGCCTCTGGAGCTCAAATTAGAGTGGGAGGCCCTGCGTGGGTGCAACCTGATGGTGCCCAGAGGCACCAGAGATGACCCAATCTACCTTCCTCAGTTTTCACATGAGGAAATACTGTGACTGTCCCTAGTTAGGGCCCAAGCTGCAAACGGAGCATAATTCTATTAGGTATGATTTCAGGTCAATTACTCTGACATTTGTTGAGCACATGTAATGAACCAGATGTTGTTCTAGGCATCGAAGATACGAAGGTGAGTGAGGCATTGTTTGGGAGCTGCCCATGCCCACTGTGACTCTATTCTGTTTCTAAGCCAGCTGGAAGAGAGGATAGGGAAGGGCTTGTTTTGAAAGGGAGCTTTCTTACCCAAAGCTTACCCAACCTTAGGGAGGAAGCAGAGTATCAACAGTAATTCTACTCAGGGGTTGAGTGGGGACAGAGGTGGAACATTGCTTAAAGTAAGGTTTTTGTTTTTTCCATTGTTGTTCTTTTAAGTTATTCATGTCTTTCTCTCTCTCTCTCTCTCTCTCTCTGATTAGCACAGATAACTAAGAGTTGACTGCTATTTGTTTCAAACCTTCTGCCTTGATTCTCCACTAAGGCTGTTACCTTTATTAATGTTAATTGAAATTGAGAGCAAGAAGTGGAACGCCTTGTTTTGCTCGTGTGTCTACATGTCTGAAATGAATAAATAAGAACCCGTTCTGAGGATTCACTTATTCATTCATTCTGCATGCTGTCACCATGAACCTGCTCAGGGGATGCACGTTTTTTTTGTTTATAATCAGTCTTCTTCACAGAAGAAGAGTCTGGTGTGTTTTTGCACGCTGACCAAAAAAAGACCCAGGCTTGATCCTGAAGGATGAGATCAATTTCCATTCCCTCTCGGCAGTTTGCCTGTCAGCATAATGATATTATTGGTAGTTATTAATAATACTTTGTACTTGCCCAGAAGCATCTTGCCTCAAAGGAGATTTCCGATTTCATAGGGCTTCCCTCTGGGAGTCCTGAAAAGCCACTGGAAAGACTACACCCGGCAGAGCAGCTGTCTTTTCTGGACCTGAGCTCTGGAAGCAGCCCCACAGCTCCAGAATATGGGAGGCAGCAGTTAACCTATTCGCTTGATTGCAGCACCTAGTAATGCTAATTGTAACGCTCCCTGGGAAAGCTGCGGAGAAAGCCATCCTCATCCACTTTATTCTAACCCCCATGTGGTTTCTTCTGTCCCATGAGCTATAGAGGAGCAGGTGTTCTTACCACCATTTAACTCTATTTGGCATTTGTTGTATCGTCTACAATTAGCCTTGTACCTTTTGCAAATTTCAGATTCGTCTTCCCTATTGTTATCCAGCTCATTGACGAATGTCTCTAGCTCTGTGAGAACTAGATGTCTTATTCTGGGTTGAGATCAAACCGTTTATCAGCACTTGGGATTGGTTTGTTTCACTGGCAGTGGGTTTTATCTAACTGTGGTCCACGAAGATTCTTATAAAAAAAGAATGTTCTATACCATTACCCGGCTTTAAAAGTGGTACTAAGACTTTAGCTCATCACACTGGTACAAGAAGGAGACTGAATGAGTTAACGTATTCCCATAGCTGCTTCAGAATTAGCTTAAACCAAAAGCATATCAACCCGATGAGATCTATAGCGATCACTTGGTCCCCATTGACATTCTTTATGTTGCCTTGTAACACCACCACGTGGTTTGTTTAACTCATAGCCTTCTTGCAGAAGTATCAATTTTAATAGTCGCAATATAAGAGGAAGTGTTTGGATTGAATGATGCCATGAAAAGATTTATGTCAAGTATTAAGATCCTGAGTGAGTAAAACTAAAATCTCAAAAACGTGGGAAAAGTGAAAGAAATAGAAGTTTTATGTGTAATTAGGATTTGAGAGAGCCTCAGAAGCTGTGTGATCCTCATGAGAGCTCTAACTGAGTGGTTTCTCATGTTGAGCATCTCACCAGCTACTGGATGATGAAGCAAATATTAGGCACCTTTTCTCTTCCTCCTTCTCTTCAATAAGAAAGATAATTTAAAATTAGTATAACTACTTCAGTGCTGCTTAGTTTTTCAGTGGCTTGCTTTTTTGTTGTGTTGTAGTCTGCCTTGGAGACTTTTCTCAGGATGTACTTTTAAATTTAAACTTTAAATTTTAAACTTAAAAAATTTTAAGACCACAGGAAAAGTTCGAAGAATTATATAAAGAACACTCATGTTACCTTCACTCAGAATCACCAATTGTTAACATTTTGCCAATTTGCTTAATGTCTATCTATCACCCATCTATTTATCTATCCTGTCTTTCTGTCTGTCTATCTGTCTATCTAGCTATCATCTATCTCCAATAAATAATGGTATTTTCCTATACAATCAGAATGCCGTTATCACATCTAAGAAAATTAACATGAACTCAATATTACTTATAGACTGTATTTATTTTTTCTCAGTTCCATATTATTATAGTGACTTTTTTTCTAATCCAGGGCTCAGTCAAGGTTTACACATTGCATTTGGTTGTTACACCTCTTCAGTCTCTGAATCTATAACAAGCCTTCTGCCTTTTTTCTTTGTTGTTTTTCATGGCCTGGAATTGTTTTGAAGAATCCAGACCTGTTGTCTTGTAGAATGTCTCACGTTCTGGATTTGTCCAATTGTACAGAATAGTGTAGAGATGATATATTACCCTCAGTGGTTTTTTGGAATCACATAGTGTCAGGTTGTCCCACTATTAATGATGCCAAGTTTGGTGAAGGTTGTGATTCTTTCATGGCCCACTGTAAAATTACATTTGCCCCTTTGTGATGAATGGTTCATCTGTGGGTTGACAGCACTCTTTACTGAGCGATTTTAGCGTCCAACGATGATCTCGTCTCAGTCAGTTATGATAGTGGGTCTTACAGAATGGTCAGTTTTCTCATTTTGTAATTGTTTTCAACATTTATTAGGTAGCATTGACTATGCGAAAAAAAATTCTCTCCCTCCCTTCTCTCTCCCTTTTAGTGTCATTTAGAGACCTATTTTTCTTTATATAATCTGTGTATTTTCCGTAGATGATCTGTTACCATCATTTTTCTTTTTTATGTTAAAATTTTCCTAAATTTGGCCGTTGGAACCCCGTCAAGCTGGCTCCTATGTCCTTTTGTGTTGACTGCATTAAGATCTGAGCACTTCCTTGCTTCGTGGCAGAAGATGAATCTTTTGCTCCTCTAGCCCAGGATCAGCCATTTCTCCAAGGAGCCCTGGTTCCTGTTATTGGTGAATGTTATCTGGAAACCAAGCGTTTTCCCTAGACTCTCACTGTAAGGATCCTCTTGCTTGCGTTTGGGCAGATACAGTACCAATGAAGGGGAGACCTGGAAAACGTTCATCTTCTCTGAGAAGCCAGTGTTTGTGTATGGGCTCCTCACAGAACCTGGCGAGAAGAGCACCGTCTTCACCATCTTTGGCTCCAACAAAGAGAATGTCCACAGTTGGCTGATCCTCCAGGTCAATGCCACAGACGCCTTGGGTAAGCTGCTGCCTCCTCAGCCCCTTTCATGGAAATGTTTGACCAAATCATCAGTTGAGATACTCTGTACACAGAAGAGTTTGTGATCCATTGAAAGGAGATGAGCACATATACAAGTAAGGCTGTTATTTGGGCAGTTCTTAATAGGACCGCGTGTTATTTTTGTATCCTCATTTCCTTATGCAGTCACTGGCACACAGTATGTTTAGGTATATGTGTGTTGAACATGTGAGTGAATGAATGAATGAATGAATGAATGAAAACATTCTTCCAAATTAGCAATTGTAGTTTTACAAATTTAGCCAGTAACTACTATGTGCAAGACAGTGTGTCAAGTGGTTCAGCGTCCTCGCAGAGCTGTCTAGGACCTCATCATGGTCGGCTAATCTTAGGGACAGGACATGTAAATAAGCAAGGAGCAGTGAAACGCCTTCTTTCCCTGCCCCAGCTGCCTGGAATGCCCACCGTGCCACCCATTCAATTTCTGCCAGTTGAAATCCTTTTCATGTTTCAGCGTCCAATGAGTTTGGCTGCTAATATCCTAACCAGAAGACTTTTCCCCCTCTTCTTTGTGTCGAGAGTCTAAGCGTAATCACCTGCCTTGAGTTATAAATTTGTATCTGTCCTCTGTGTATGTCATTTCTGATCAACTAGATTATCAGGTCCTTGGAAAGAAGAACCCATCCTCTGAACATTTGTTTTCCACAAAGTGCACAGTTGGATAGCCTTCCAGGTTGTAAGCATTTAATGAATACTTGCTGACTTGAATGGCTTTGAATTGACAGTTGTTCGTTTTCAGGCAGCATTTAATCTGACTGAAGACATGCATATATATAAAAGACAAAGTACTGGTATTGATCTAGGTTTACTTTGGAATTCCTATAGACATCACTCTATTTTATTATTATTAATTATTATTATTATTATTATTTTATTTTTGTGGAATTGGGGAAGGGTAACAGTGTTGGAAATTGGGGAATGGGAACAGCCAAGTTGTTGTCCTTCAGTCTTAGTTATGGAGGGCGCAGCTAGCTCAGCTCCAAGTCCAGTCGCCATCCAGCCGCCCATCGGCAGCTCGCGGCCACTCAACTCAAGGTGCCGTGTTCAATCTTAGTTGCAGGTGCATGGGAGTTGAACCAGCAATCTTCTTGTTAGGAGCAGGTGCTCTCACCAGCTGAGCCATCCTGCCACCTATTGGCAGCTCAGCGGCAGATCACCTCGGGCACAGCATCACTGGCCCATGTGGGAATTGAACTGGCAACCCTGTTGCTCAGAGCTCATGCTCTCAACCAACTGAGCCACTCAGCTGGCCCCAACATCACTCTATTTAAATTTGGAGTGAGTGCAGTTAGATGGAGTGATTGTCTAGGTCAGGGGTCAGCAAACTTTTGAGATGGAAGAGCCGCCAGGAGTCGGGAAACTGCAGCTCGCGAGCCTCTTGCGGCTCTTTGGGTACATACATGTGGCTCTGAAATAAAATTGAAAATGAAAATAAAACTATCATAGTTTCATTTATAATATTACTTTAAATTTTCCTTATTTGTAAAAATATTTTTATGGCTCTTGAATAATTTTTAAGTTGTTGTGAGGGACAGGATTGGCTCTTCCAGGGGTCAGCAAACTTTTGAGATGGAACGTACCCAAAGAGCCGCATGTGGCTCGTGAGCTGCAGTTTGCTGACTCCTGGCGGCTCTTCTGTCTCAAAAGTTTGCCGACCCCTGGTCTAGGTTTTCATACCGTTTCTCAGGCTCCTTTTGTGAAGATGCTGTACCTTCCAGGCAGTGACAGCGAATTGTCTTTTGCTCTCAGGCCATACTACCGGATGTTCCCACACTACCCCAGGAAGTCAGCAGGGAACTATACTCCTAAATGATACTATCTATCAGGTTTCTAAAGGGAACTATAGAATGTGCTAGAATACATCAGAGTTTTGATAGTGCTTAAAGTGGCTTGCTGCTTCCCAACTTTCTCGGATGAAGGTCTGTGTTTCAGGGGGTACCATTTTCATTTGGGTTGGTGTCACCCGGCCTCAAAGCGAGCTGATGAGAGAGGCTTGTAACAGCTCTAGAGGCCTGTGCGCTTGCCAGGAAGCAGCAGGGTGGTAGGAAGTGGGCAGCTGGGCTGATGGATGGGTAGGATAGGAAACCTCACACGGGCCTGCCTCTCTTGCTGCGTTTCCTTTCCTCAGGGGTTCCCTGCACAGAGAATGACTACAAGCTGTGGTCACCGTCTGATGAGCGGGGCAACGAGTGTTTGCTAGGACACAAGACTGTGTTCAAGCGGAGGACCCCCCATGCAACGTGCTTTAATGGAGAAGACTTTGACAGGCCGGTGGTCGTGTCCAACTGCTCCTGCACCCGAGAGGACTATGAGTGGTGGGTTCTTCATCGATGCCTGGGGGATTGGTTTGTATTTCATTCTCAGCAGTGTGGGAAACAGACCAGGGTGTGGTCCCTTGCTCTGAGGAAAGGAAGGGGCAGCATAGGAAACAAACATTTATTATCATTTTAGGTGCCAGGAAGTGTGCTAGGCACTTTTTATGTAGGTTATTCCATTTAATTCCTATAGGCATGTGATGTGACAGAGGTGTTACAACCTGGGGAATCTCTAGTAATTTATTCAGGAATAGATAGCTCTGGGGTTTATTTCTATTAATATGAGGGCAGCGCAAACAGGGAACATATTGAAGGCTCCATTGTAGCTAACTCCTTTCCTTAGAAGTTCTGTTCTAGAGGGAATTTACTTCTTTATTTGAAATGAGGGAATTAGTGTGTGTGTATGTACATATGTAAATTCATTAGTCCTTGAGCAAAATATCCAAGGCACTGCTGAGAATGCTAAAAGCAGAAGAAACGACAAGCGCACAAATGATTGTGACAGGAGATGGAAAGCTGCAAGTACCTGGGAGGATGTCCTTTTCCTTGTGAATATTGACAGGAAGGAGGAGGCTGTGATTTGTCGCTGGGGCAGTGGGAAATTTCTGAAGGAGGCACTGTTTGAGATGGGCCTTAAGGAAGCATCTGGATACATGGACAGGAGCATTCTGAGAAGATGTAGCAGCATTGTGAAGGCGTGGAGGCCGGGAAGTAGTTGATGGTTTAGCTCGGATGCCTTGTTGGGTCAGTGAGTGGAGATGAGCCTGAAAAGAGAGAATCGGCAGAGGTGGAGACCTAAGGGTGTGACCTTATTCTGTAAGCAGGAGGGTGTCTTTGAGGAGAGTTGAGGATCAGAACAGAGCTTAGCTTTAGGAAGATGATTAGAGCGCATAGGGTCTCAGAGACCTCAAGTCTGTAACCCAGCACAAAATCATTCCAGATTAAGCAGGGCTCTCAGTGGAGCATGGATATTGAACATAAACACATAACTCATTTTTCAGTAGTTGCTGAGGCACCAAGAAACAAGTTTGCTTTGGGAAGCGCACTTTTCTTGATTAAAGCCAGAAACCTCTGATGTGTTCTAGGCCAGAGGTTGGATCAGGGCCATATGGTGGGTTGTTGGAAAAGTCATGACGTATTTTTTCTATGTTTTTCATTGCAAAAATGCGTCATGACTTTTCCGACAACCCAATGGTAAATGTTTTAGGCTTTACAGGTCATATGGTCTCTGACGCAGCTACTCAACTCTGCCTGTGGTAGCGCGAAAATAGCCATGATGAACAGACATGACTGTGACCCCATAAAGTTTTATTTACTAAAACAGCTAACAAGAATTGGCTACCTTCTGTCCTACACCAATGCTTCTCAATCTTGAATGTACATATGAATGACTTGTTAAAGTGCCACTTCTGACTCAGTGGTCCTGGGAGTCTGCAGCTCTGCCAGACTTTGGGTGACCCTGACGCTGCTCAGCTGCACAGCCACCCTTTGAGCAGTGGGGCTTTGGACAGTACAAGATGCACACTCCCTTTGAGAGCTGTGTGGTCCTAAGATAACAGCATAGGCGCTTTCATGGCCAAACCACAGAACTGTGTGATGTTCCCAGTGATGTCGGGGTCAGCGCCCCTTTGCCTCCTTCTGCTCTCTGTCAGATACCCTGAAATTGTAATTCTAATCTGAGAGTTTTTGCTGGCCTGAGGCAGTCCCTCTGACTCCAGAAGCCCTAATTATGCCAAAGATTATGGTGCCTTCTCTCTTCCCTCTTTGAGCCCCAGTAAGTAATTCAAAATAAAACAAAATAAAAAATATGTAAGAAGATCTAACAAATCTTTCATTTTTTTTCCTTGATGAAGGAAAAATTATGCCTTTTGTCTAAAATTTACCTAACAACAACAACAACAACAACAACAACAACAACAACAACACACACACACACACACACACACACACACACACACACGACAAGAACCAGGGGCTGGTGTCCTTCTTGGTAAACTGGCCTGGCTCCCACTGGTCCACCATGTCCACCGCAGCTGACTTGTGGAAACTGGGTAGGTGCTGAGTCTTTATTGTAGACCAGGAAAACCACCTCCCTGCCCCTCACAGAGTTGCGCTTCAGGTCAGATGAGATCATGGGGCTGATAACCCATGAAAAAGATGAAGGGTGTATTGATGTCAGGCCATCTCGTTATTGTTCGTCTGTTTGCTGTAGCTGCTGGAATAAGGGGCCAGCCTGACCCTGTGGCTCTTGGAAATGTTTAGCATTGGACTATGGCAGTGAGGGGGAAGTGGTCTGAAGATGGATGGACAAGAGAGAAAAGGAGAATTGAGTGAGCTTTTAGGATCTATCCATTAGTTCAACTCCAGAGTGACAACTGCATTTGAAAGTCAGATCACTTCTGTTAGTCCCTCCAGTCTCCACAGGGAAACTCAGCCACTTGGTCCATATGTTTCCTGATTTCAGGGGTAGGTTCTTTTACATTTTTTTTTTAATGTAAAAAAAAAATTATCACAGTATAGTTGACTCTTTTACATCTTCATATCCCCCCACATTGCCAGGAAGTTTGGCTTTCAAACGCTTGACTGCAGCCCCTAGCACACAATGCGTTTTCTAGTACGACTCTGTATCTACACCTACTTGTATATTAGACACATATACACATGTAATTAAAAGTTTTATGAGATAGCATTTACTTTTTTTTTTTTTTTTAATTTAGCTGATTCATCCTGCCACCTATTGGCAGCTCGGTGGCAGCTCAGCTTGGGCCGGGATTCGAACCGCAGTTGCTCAGAGCTCGCACTCTTTTTTTTTTTTTTTTTTAATTTAGCTGATTCATCCTGCCACCTATTGGCAGCTCGGTGGCAGCTCAGCTTGGGCCGGGATTCGAACCGCAGTTGCTCAGAGCTCGCACTCTTTTTTTTTTTTTTTTTTTTAGATTTTTTTTTATTGGGGAATTGGAGGATTGGAACAGCACTGGGGAATTGGGGGAAGGGGAACAGACAAGTTGCTGTCGTTTTGTTCTTCAGTCTAGTTGTGGAGGACGTTGCTTCACCGGCCCAAGCTGGCACCATCATTGCGCTCTTCCCGGGTGAGGCAGATCAGTCGCCGGCTTCTGGACGGCCGCTCACTGCGGCTGCTGGCCGCTCACACTGGCTGCTGGCTACGCACGGTAGCTTATGGCAACCCACTGCCACAGGGACTGCAGCCTACGCCGTCGCCGGCGACTCAGGGCAGCCCAGCTCTAGGTCGAGCTGTTGTTCAGCATCTTAGCTGTAGAGGGCAGTGTCACTGGCCCTCATATGTGGGATCCGAACTGGGGCCCTCTGGCGTCCCAAGCCAGCTCTTAACCATCGCGCCACTCGGCCGGCCCAGAGCTCGCACTCTTGAGCGAGCTCTCAACCAACTGAGCCACTTGGCTGGCCCTGGCATTTACTTTTAAGTGTGATGAATTTTTGGGGGGACATGTGGGAGAGGATGCTGGTCTTAACCCTCTAATGTGCTTTCACTGCCCACAAGGTCATGCCCTACAGTTTGAAGAAACCTGCCTATGAAGGATGCTCTGCCATTGGAGACAAATAAGTAATTAGTTAATGTTCTACTTAGTCCCCAAAAAGATTCAACCTAGCTATTCAGTAAAAATTACCTGATTTAATGAAGAAGACCTATTGGATACAGTAATAATATGCTTCCTTCCGAACAATTCTCTACAAAGTGCTAAATGTGGTTTACGACATAATATATGCACAAACCACTTTGACCTGCACCTGTTAACCCTTTTCATATTGTAGGTGTTTAATAAATATTCGTTGAGCCAAATAGAGTAAATGAAGCCTTTTGTGTAGAGCACATCAACCTGGAAAATCCCTTTGAAAATTATGAATTCATAGTTTGGGCAGGGCCTTGGGAAGTTTATAGGGCAGCTGCTTCATCTTAGAGTTGTTCAGTGCAGCCAAAAGAAGTCATGTAGTTAAGGGCACAGCCAAGACTAGCCGAGGACCCATGCTTCCGACCCTACCCCTTGAGCTGGGTATTTTGGCAGAGATGTGCCCCCCCCAGATTGCAGCAGTTCTTGTGGACTAAAGCACTGTGTCCTGAAGTACAGGATGAGGCACCAAAGGTGAGTTTAGGTGGTATGTGGACATGGTCTTAAATAACATTGGGGAAAAAAAATCCCCAAAATCCTTGATTAAAGGAAAAAGCATTATTGTTTTGTTTTGTTTGGTTTTTTTGTGATGTAGGTCGATTCCCAAAATTAGGCCTACATTGTATAAACAATCAGATATTTAATAAGAGGCATTTCTATGGAAACCAGTGAAAAATAGAGCTTAATGATTGGGGCAAATTATAAACAAACCAGTTTCTGAGCCCAAAGGGCAGTCAGTCGAGAAAATTTCTACATGTTAGGCTCAAAGCATCTTTAACAGTTTGAAATACCTCTGGTGATGTCATCAGGTTGTCAGACAACTTTCTGAGTGGTTTATACACCAACAGTCATGAAGATTGTTTAAACAGGAGTTGTGATGATGTTGAAGCAGGGCCCGAGAATTAGGATTCCTGATGTAATCCCGGGATTGTGATCCCGCCGTTACTGAAAGAATGGAAACGTGGATCCGGAGAGGCAAGGTTTAAGCAGTAGCAGTTTTATTGCAAAAGCGTAAGAGAAAAAAAGGCACAAGAGAAAGGCTCTCCACAGATCCCCAGAGCCATAGAGTGGGGTTTCCAAGGAGATGCCCCGTGGGCGGGGCTAGGCTGGGAACTATAATGACTCTGAGTCAGAGTTGATTGGTTTTTCCCATACCTGGGTGGTAGTTTGAAATAATTTATCATAATCTAATTAGCTACCTAATTTGGGCTGACAACGTAGGTGGGCTTTGCGTTTGAATTTGCTTATTGATTGGCTCTCCCCTTGCACCTGGGCTGATAAATTTTTCATGGGTTTTCCAGACTTTCTTTGTCATAAGCTGAAAAGACCTCTTCCCCCCACACCTGAGTTTCGCGGGCTTTTTAGCCACTAAAGTTATTTTCTCTTGCCCTAATTCCCTCTACCGCGGCCATTTTCTTGACTGCCTATAATTTTCTACCTCACCCGGTTGGGAACCCCGTAGTAGAGGTCTTGCAATGTCCCTGGCCTCACCTTTTCCTTGACCTATAGCTTAACAATAGAACATCCCCCTGCAGCTTGACCTTGGAATGTCCCTTGTCCCAGTTCCCTGTTTGAGAAAATCACCCTGAAATTTATGATTAATACTCTTAGGCACTCTCTGTGGTCTAGCAGTCTTTCCAGGCTACACCCATCATTGTTCCTGTGTTGCTGACACCACTGGAGAGCCACGTTGCCAAAGGAAAGGCTCCATGCAGACCCCTGGAGTGTCATGTAGCCTCTCGGATTATTCTTTTTAATTTGTCTTTTAATTCTTCCAATCATGTCAAGGGGAAAGTCTCACTAGGTGCTAGCAATTCTTTAACATTTTCTAATCCTTTTTAACAAAGAGAGGGCAGGCCCAGAGTCTTTCGGTGGGGAACTGGATGTATAGCTAAAAAATTTAATACTATTTTGTTTTTGGCATAATGACTTATATTGTTTTTGTTTATTTATGGCACATGATAGTGGCTTGAAATCATGGTTCTGATATGAACTTTCTTTTGGAAATTTATTAGTGTAAAAAAGTGAGCAGTCTTTAAAGGGACATGTTAAGGTATATAATAATATAGGCGGTAGGCAGTATGGTAGAAGTTATAAGATTTTGTACTGAAATGCCTGAAGTGTGTAAACCAGCGGCCTTAACAAACCCTGATTGCTTTTACAGTGACTTCAGCTTCAAGATGAGTGAAGATTTGTCATTAGAAGTTTGTGTTCCAGACCCTGAGTTTTCTGGGAAGTCGTACTCCCCTCCTGTGCCTTGTCCTGTGGGTTCTACTTACAGGAGAACAAGAGGGTATGTCTTACAAAGATTGCCATATCAGGGTCACGGTGGGGGGGGGGTGTCTGCATTTGGTATAAGAGCACTTTTCATACTCGATACCTTTCGTACTCCAAATGCTAGAATTCTAAATTAGGTTTCCAGTAGTGTGGGCAATATTTAAAGTTATGATGTTTGTAAATTCTTCCACCCTAAGGGAGAAAAAAATGCAAGTGTGTAAGTTTCTTTACAACTCTAGTTGTATCTTGAGTCATACATTTCAGCAAGGACACCTTTTGAGAGGAGTTTGTTGAAGAGATCCATGTAAAACTCTTGCGCAGGACAGCACTCCAAGTTGTCTGGGCTGCCTACTCTAATTATAAACAGAACCGATTCAAAATGATTAAACATCCTCCTTCCTGTTCTATAGGGAAATGAATAGATGAACTCTGTTGTCCGTGGGTAGGAAATATGTTCCCAATTACAAAGCCTTCATGACTATTCTTTGAAGTTTCTGACCTTTTGCTCTTGGGGTGGGGTTTGACAGCTATCGGAAGATTTCTGGGGACACTTGCAGTGGAGGAGATGTTGAAGCGCGACTGGAAGGAGAACTGGTCCCGTGTCCCTTGGCAGGTAAGAGGTGGCTTTTTCCCTTTGACTTCTTGAGTCATCATTGAAGCATCATTATTTTCTCTCCCAGGTCCACTCTTATAGCTCTTCTAACTTAGTGGAGAAAAAGAATAGAAGTTACAAACATCACAGAGCTTCCTAAGCTTGGGATCCAAATGAAATTTATTTACAGCCTTATGACTTTATAGGGATGGAAAATATTTTTGAAGGAAATCTCCTTTGTTCATTGAAAAATGTTTATTCAGCATCTGTTGTATTCTAGGCATGGGGGGATGAGGAGTGCCCAGAGGCCTTTTGTGTGTTCCTTATCTGTTTGTCATAGTTGAATATAAAGAGAGACTTATAGATTTTTGGGAAGTAGCTAAGTGGCCTATCTCAATTTTTATAACAATAATTATAAACAATATTTTAATGGAATTTTACACATTTAAATATACTTTTCCATGTGTTGTCATTTTAATTCTTATTAGTACCCAGTGGAACACATATTATTATGAGGAAGCATGTTCAGAGGAGAAGGTTAAATGATTTATTTAAGGTCACACCCGGTAAGTGACAAAGCTAAACTTCAGACTGTAAGCCCATGCTCTTACCTAGACATCATCCAAGTGACAAATAAATGTCATTCCCATTATCTTAGATGGTCATTAGGCGTGCTAAGTCTGAAAAACTTCTTTGGAGTGAGTGCACATGTTATAACGTATAGCTTGTTCCAGACATGTTTTAAGTTGATTTAGTGGAAATGGCACATTTTGGGGTATTTGTTATATATGAGGTGTGATAAAAAAAATACGCTGAATGTTTAAAAAAACTTATTACAGTAAAGACACATTGCCATTAATCCCCCTCAAAATATACACCACCTCACTTTGAACACACTTATCCCATTGTTCTTGCCACTTTCTGAAGCAGTTCTGGAAGTCCTCTTTCATGAATGTCTTTAGTTTGTGCTGTTGTGGCTGCCTCGATGTCCTGAACCGATTCAAAACGTTTACCTTTCGTGGTCATTTCAACTTTGTGGAAGAGCCAGAAGTCGCACTGTGCCAGATCCGGTGAATAAGGTGGATGAGGACGCACTGTCATGGTTTTATTTGACAGAAATTGCCGTACCAGAAGTGATATGTGACACGGAGCATTGTCATGATGGAGGATGATTTACAGCACACTTTAAAACACACCTTCTTTCAACCGTAGCTCACACCTGTCTGACTGTTAAACAGTTGAAACTTGTCACAAACTGTTACTGAGGTTCAATATGCCGCTTCCTGTATTGAAGATCCCTGCCTTTCTGTTGGATGGCACTCGGCAGCAGCATTCACTGCAGTTTTTTATCACACCTTGTACACACGAAATTATGATTCCTTAACTAAGAGTTAGTTTCTTAGCGTCTTTTCTTTCTTCGCTCTGTTTCTAGTTCTTATTCATGTAGAGCTTCCTTGTTCCCTCTGAGCCATTTGTCCTGCTCTTACATCTCGCTGAAGGTGAATGATCGGGGCTGACTTCCGTCAGAAGTGGCGTGGTCTGAGGGAACAGCCACAAATACCATATGAATCATTAGAGAAGCATGTTGTCCTCTGCCAGCACGGCAGAGTGGCCCTCTCGTTTGCTCACTGCTTGCCAGCTTGCCTATGTTTTTCTTGCTAGGCTCATTAGTACCTTAATGCAATCTTCCATCATTACCAAAATAATTAGCCTACTTCACTGTGGAGACTTAAACAGAACATGGCGTCAGCAGATTCTCACAAATGAGCAGATAGTATTCAAGTATTCCCTTCACAAGCGCTGTTATTGATGAGGGTTTGGGTTAGTAGGGTTTGAGTGATTGCCCTTTAGGGGCGGGAGTACGTACTTTTTTTTTAAAAAGGTTTTATTGGGGAATTGGGGAAGGGGAACAGACAAGTTGCTGTCCTTTTTGTTCTTCAGTCTAGTTGTGGAGGATGTTGTTTCACTGGCCCATGTTGTTATTATGATTGTGCTCTTCCCTGGTGAGGCAGTCGTTCGCTGGCCACTGGACGGCGGCTCACGGCAGCTCATGAAAGCTCACGCCCGCCGCCAGCCAGCCCCACTGCAGCCTACGCTGTTGCCGGTGACCCATGGCAGCCCAGCTTCAGGTCGAGCTGCTGTTCACCGTCTTAACTGTAGAGGGCGCAGCGTCACTGGCCCTCATGTGGGATCCGAACTGGGGCCCTGCTGCTCAGAGCTGGTGTCCCAAGCCAACTCCTAACCAACGTGCCACTCGGCCGGCCCGGGAGTACATACTTTTGTAATAAATGTTTCTGAAGATAATTCTGCGAGGGACAAAACTGTTTAAAGCCATTTAAACTGATAGGAAAGCTTTTTTTTTTCTGGTAGAGGAGAGAATGGAATAGGGAATGAAGTGGAAAAATCTTATTTGTAGTATAGGCCACTTCCTAAATGTTTAATAACAACAAAAAGCATGGAACGGAAAGCAGGGATATATTGATAAAGGAAAAGATGGTTTTATAGGACTGGTGGGAAACATAACATCTTTGCAAAGATGAGTTCATCTGTGCATCTGGAAGTTTTTTGTTTATTTTTTTGTTTTTAAATGAGGTAATTTTTTTTCTCTTTATAATGACTGTAATAGCACAAGTTTCTACACTGTGCTCATGTATGGCTGGAATTGGCTGAGAATTCTGTTCCTTTTCTAAAGTAAGCATTGCACTTGGAAATGCGGCGTGTTTCCCTGTGTCTAACCCTAAAGCAAATATTTATGGACTCAGGCTCTACTGTAAAGGTATGTTGGTTAGAAGAATAAAAAAAAAAAAACCCAAAGCAACAGAATGAGGTTTATAGATGTTAGAAATGTGGGGTGAAAGGCTCACGGCTGTGAATGTATTCTCAATGGCTCTGTGTGACAGCTTTGGCGAGAGTCCTTGATTTTGATGTCATTTACAACCTTGGCAGTTTTCATCTTGACTGCCCCCTTTACTGGGAATTACAGGGGGGAAGGTTTTTCTTGAAAACCGCAAGGAGAGATTACTTATCATGTGGTGGTAACTTAGATACTTTTGAAGTGAAGTGAGACCAGAGTAAAAGAATGGAAGCTTACCTTTATTAAAAGATGTAGGTAGATTTATACTACTCTGCCATAAGAAAAGATGAAATACTGCCATTTGCGACAACATGGATGGATCTTGAGATTATTATGCTAAGTGAAATAAGTCAGAAAAAGTCGAGAACCATATGACTTCAACTCATGTGAGATATAAAACTGAAAGCAACAAAGGAATAAGACAAACAAAGAAACAAAAACTCATAGATACAACAGTTTAGTGATTACCAGTGGAGGGGGGAGGGGATGGTAGAAAAGGGTAAAGGGGGTCAAATACATGGTAATGGAAGGAGAACTGACTGGGTGGCGAGCACATAATGTAATATATAGATATATTATGGAAATGTACACTTGAAGCCTGTGTAATTTTACTAACCATTGTCACCCCTATATAAATTTAATTTTAAAAAAAGTAAAAAAAAAATCTGGGAAAGGGAAAAATAAATAAAATTTTTTTTTAAAAACCCCAAGATTTATCAACTTTTAAGGCTTCCAATATCCATATTTTGTAATTCTAGCAAATGTGGTTCAGGCACAGAAAAAAAAAAGTTATAGGTACATTTATTATTTGATGCATTATCTATTGGGTTGTTGGAAAAGTCATGACGCATTTTTGCAACGAAAAACATAGAAAAAATACGTCATGACTTTTCTGACAACCCAATATATTGAAGCCTTTATAAAACAGGTGGCTAGTACATGTTAACTCACTGAATGAATGGAAAGAGAAATAGAGGGGGAAAGAAACAACCGTAACTATGCAGACATTCAGTAAAGGGATTCAGATTGGCATTTGGTCACATATGCAATGTATTGTCAAAACGGGTACTTTAGACATGGATGTGAGTGTGTTGCTCATCTCCGTTCCCGTGGAAGAATCTGGGTGTTTTCCAGTCTGTTCCCTAAGTTCAGAGAACACTAGCTCTTCTGCTTACTTATTATCTGACGTGAAGTAAGTCTCTCTGGACACCCTGGGCCTCTATGTCTACAACGTCAAAAAAGGCAACATTAGTATATATTATAAGAGGCAGCATTATGTAGTGGTTAAAACATAGATTGTAGATCCAGGCTGTCTGGGTTCAAGTCTTGGCTCTGCCACATAGTAGTTGTGTGACTTTGAGTGAGTTACTTAACCTCTCTGCTCTCAGTTTTCTCATTTGTAACATTGTGTTAATATTCCATTATACAGTTGCTATGTGGATTAAATAATGCCTGGTACACAGCATGTACATTGTGCATTTGTTAAGTAGAAATAGAATCTTTGTGAAAATTATGCTGTAAAACATTTTGTAAGTGGTCAAAAACAAATGGATTGTTGTTTTGAAAATATAATAGGTTGGTATAATTGCTGTACGCCATTGTGAAAAATATTGAACAGGTGAGCAAATGGATTGGAAAATTTAACTTCAAGTCTTCAGTGACTGGTGGTCTCTAGTCCACAAGATTTTGGTGCCATGGAATACAGTCGTATAATGAGGACAACACACTGACTGGTGTCATTATTTTGTCAAGTGGGACTAACGACTTTTAGGTGGAGCTCAGAAGTTTGGATGTTGGAGCATGCCTACTGAGGGTTCTAGATTTTTTTTTTAAAGTAACAAATATTACACTTTACTGATGAGGAAACTTGGTTAAGAATCACAGGAGTTCCAGTAACTTGCCCAAGGCAGAAATGTGATTCTGTTACATACCTTCTAAGTCTAAATCCCTATGCTCTTTGATTTGATCCACGCCATGTGTCAGTAGCTCTGAGGTTTGTGTGTGAGGAATAAAATAGGCCAGACATGCTGGGACCTCTCCGGCATCCCCCGGTCTGCCCTCCCTGTTGTTTTGTGTGTCTGCAGAGGAGAACGAATTCATCCTGTACGCCACGCGGAAATCCATCCACCGCTATGACCTAGCGTCAGGGGCCACCGAGCAGTTGCCTCTCACCGGGTTGCGGGCAGCGGTGGCCCTGGACTTTGACTATGAGCACAACTGCTTGTATTGGTCTGACCTGGCCTTGGATATCATCCAGGTGAGTCAACCCTTGGCCTGGTCCTGGGGGCTATGCCTTGCAACTGCCCAACCTTTAGAAACGTCTTTCAGAATGGCCTAAGGAAGTGAGTATTAGAAGTTTGAAGTCATAGCTCTACCCAGGGCTGACTGATGAAACATTCCAGTTTTCTGTTTTGGTATTTTCTTTCCCTGCCTACCTCTGTCCTTGTAGGAAGGACAAATGGAGCCCCAAATCTGCGGTCTTGCTTATAAACGAGGTCACACTTTTACTGGTAGGAAGATTTTAGGACTAGGAACGTAGGATTATTTGTCATTCCCTATTGTACTACCCAAGCCATGATATAGTCACACTTGACTTATCTGTAGTTTATGTAATTATCCACTTCAGCTGTTCTGAACACAGTCCAGAACCAGAAGGTGAGCTGTAATTTATAAAGATCCCCACACAGGCCAGAGAGATAGCCATACACTTAAACTCATGCATTTTAAAGAGAGGCATTTGATCTTTAATCCTTTTAGAAAAGCAATTCCAACAAGTTTTATCTGGACTTCCAAGCCAACAGAAATTTTACAGTGCTTAGGCACTTGAGGGGTTGAAGATGGGGGTCAGTGGGTAGCGGTGACTGCTGAGTGTCGCTGTCCCAACAATAGCACCTGATGGCTAAGAGCCTCTCGCGGGAGGAAGACTATAAAAAGCAGACACAAGAGCTTAAAAATACTGCCTGGTTTCATTTATATTTTAAAGCAAACAGACTCATGCATCAGTTATGTCCGACCTGGTTATTGTGTGACAGCATAGTTCAGTAGCCGGTGTTCATCATGATAATGCAGAATAATATAAATGATTAAGTTCTGTGTAGTTATCCTGCTTCAAACAGGAAGCCATAATGCATTTTACAAATACTTTTATTAAAAACCGGCTTCTTTCATCCAGAAAGTTTACTAATATAAAGCATCTCACCCCCTGCCGGTCAAGCCAGTTGAAAACAGAGTTCCCGTCCATGGGACTAATGTGGCAGGAGGTCACGTGAACATTTCACAACATTTCCTCTTTTTCTTTCTTTAGCGCCTCTGTTTGAATGGGAGTACCGGGCAAGAGGTGATCATCAATTCCGGCCTGGAGACAGTAGAAGCCTTGGCCTTTGAACCCCTCAGCCAGTTACTTTACTGGGTGGATGCCGGCTTTAAAAGGATTGAGGTGTGTATTGTTCCCCTGCTGCCTTTAATTGCGTGAGCAGAGGGAGCAGCAGGGTTCTAAGCCAGCTTTGACAGAGACAGGAGCTAGTGTGACATATTACTCTGGGATTTCTCAGAATTCTGTAGGGACCAGCTGAACCTCTGGAGAAGGAAGAAAAGGGGAATCGTTTCAGAATTATTGCTCACTGCCGTGGAGATCCTGCATGAGAACCGGATTCCTGAATCCATCAAACAGATTTCATTAAGATACCTAAAAGTTTATATTTTGGCTAGAAGACCATAGAGTAGTATAATAATGATAATAATATCATAGCATCATTATAATGCTATAACATCAGTACTCTGGTATTATTGTAGTCGATTAGAGTAATAATGACAATATCATGATCATCCTCACCATTATTATTAATGATGATAATGAGTACGTAGTATGTGCCAACCCCTGTTGGAACCACTTTGCAGAAATTATTTGATTCTCTTCTCACAATAGCCCTGTCAAGTAAGTTTTTTTTACCATCCCCACTTCACCTATTTGCACCTTAGCTGCCCAAGGCAACATGAGGGTAATAAATGGCCTCTAAACACCCAAATCATTGTCTTCAGGAATATAGGGAGTGGCTCCTGAAAGTTCCTGCTGAGGCCCTGGGGCACTGCCTCAGCACGCTTTTGTACTGATTCTCTGTGGAGGTCTGATCTATGGGTCAAGTGGGAAGCAGAGTAGAAGAGGGAGACACAGAAAGCCAAGCCAACTTGCAAGACAAAAACCACAAACTTGAGAGATAGGCCTGGGTTCAATCTTTATTCCAGTAGCTAAGTGACTTGGGCTTCAGTTTCTTCATCTGTAAGATGAAGATTCATTCATCCACTGTCATTTGACTATTGCTATTAGAGTGCATGACATGTGCCAGGCACGGCTTTAGCTTGTGATAATACATCAGGGGGCAAGGCACACAGGTTCTGATAGAAAATCGATTTTAGTAGAAAAGCAAAATAATGAAGAAATAAGTCAGTCAGTTCTGTCGGTGGTAAGTGCTGCAAAGGAAAACTAACAGGGCAGTGTGGTCGTGTGGTTGGGTGGTGGGACAGCATTCGAAAAGGTGGGTAGAGGAGGTGTTGTGAGCATGTGACTCCTGAGCTGAGCCTTGAAGAGACTCGTTAGAGTGTTCACCTCGTAGGACAGTTGAGAGAAGGGAGGAAAAAGATGTGCCGGCACCTACTTAGCACTTGGTTGTTGGTCTTGTTGTTCCTATTTCTCTCCTTTCTTTAATTGTGTATGGCCTGTGGTTTGCTAGGTGGTAGAGGGATGCAGGCAGAGCTTAAGTGTTCACGCTGTAACAGGCTTGATGGGACACTAGCGTACCAACTCAAATACTGCTTGTGCACCATGGTGTAAGGTGAGTCAGTGATGAAAACTAGAGATGCTCATTGATCAAGGTGGGTCAGAAGAATTAGCAGAGGAGGAAGGCCTGGAGATGGGTTTTGAAGGGAAGATAGGATTTGATTAGAGAGCAGAGGATAGGCCCAGGAGGGAATATGGCAAGAGCAGACAGGAGTGAGTATCAGGCTTAGAGAACCATGAGGAGACCAGCCTTGCTGAAGTCATAGGAGCCGAAATGGAAAATAGAGAATGTGGGACCAGTCTGTGGAGACTCTTAATTGCAAGGCTGTGATGTTGACAGTTTGCTTTGTGAGCAGTGTAGAGCCATTAGTGACTGGAGCATGGAGTAATGTAGGCGGGTTAAATAATATTAAGTACTTCATGTAGATCATCATGCCCCAGGAACCGGGGCACAGGTGGTGGTGGCTTCTCTGTCAGACCATGTGAGAATTGTGACATGAGCCAGAGGAAGGAACAGCTCATTCTGACTGGAAATAGTGGCAGTCAATCTGTAGGGGAATCTGGTGGCCATAGAGGGCACATCCTTAGGCAGGGGCTGAGTAGGAGACTTTGCAATGTGGGGCTTTTCAGGAGCTCAGATCCACCTTGGCCTTTTTCTCTTCCGTTTTTTTGTTTTGTTCTGTTTTTTTGTCAGGTAGCTCATCCAGATGGTGACTTCCGACTCACGATCGTCAATTCCTCTGTGCTTGATCGACCCAGGGCTCTGGTCCTCATGCCCCAGGAGGGGTAAGTGTGGCCTCAGGGGAAGTCAGGGTATGTCACATGCTGCAGCAGAGGGATTCTCATATAAATGCAAACTGGTTCCTCTTGATTGTGGTTGAAATAACCTATTAACTGAGAGTTTTGAAACTATAGTCTTGGTCAGGTGACTCTTCATTAGCAAACATCAGAATCTCTAGGCATCCAGATGTCTCACATCTGTGGGGTATTTCTCCAACGAAAGGTAATATTAAAAGTCTCTCTGTAGACATAGTCAGGTCTGGTTGGATATCGTGAGGATTCTTTATCTTGTGTTTCACGCATGGTACAAACATTTAATCCATTCCATCCTTTCCCTGCCCTCCAATATTTGTAAGTTTCCTTAGTAGTGATTTGTATGCACTTGGAGAGTGCAGAGGTGCTTTTTATTAATAGTGCTTTATTAACTTAAGGAAATAAAACTAAAAGGGAATTTCTAGAGTAGCCTTTCTACCCTTTCTTATAGCATTTATGGTTGAGGATTAGATCTATTTTTAAAAGAAAGTTATGAAAGTAATATATGTACTTGATTAAAAATATTAAAAGAGAACAGAAGTATATGGAATGAACAATATTTATTTCCTTCTTTTTTACTTATAACTCTTCACCTTACCTTCCCAAGGCATTAATCGGTTCTTGTGTCTCATTCAGAATATTTTTACCCACGTACAAGCATATATTCTTAAAACACTCAGACACACATATATGTACACATACAAGTATGTGCCAGAAAGAATAATAAGATATTTACTATTCTGCACATATTAAAAAACTTAATAAGCATTGAAAATAGTTCCATGTGAACACATGTAGATATTAGGCTTCATAATATTCTTTTGTATGTACTATAATGTATCACTTTTTCTATAGATTAACATATATATATAAATATATATTATTAAAAAATATATATATTTTTTGCTAGTATAAACAAACTTTGCTGTGATGACAACCTTTATACATTATCTTTGCATAACTTGATTATATCAGTTGATAAATTCCAGTAAAGGAATTTTTCGGTCAAGGAATTAAGTGGCTTTAAGTGCTACAATTACATATTATAGTAGCAATGCTGAAATAACCAGCCTCGTTATTCTTTAGGGGTTTCTTGCCTCCTTGGAGTAGTGTTTGAGCCCCCATTTCCCTAGTTCCGATGTGATGTGTTTTCTTTCTGGTTTTGACCAGGGTGATGTTCTGGACCGACTGGGGAGACCTGAAGCCTGGTATTTATCGTAGCAATATGGACGGCTCTGCTGTCCATCGTCTTGTGTCAGAGGATGTGAAGTGGCCCAATGGCATCTCCGTGGATGACCAGTGGATCTATTGGACAGACGCCTACCTCGACTGCATTGAGCGGATCACTTTCAGCGGCCAGCAGCGCTCAATGATCCTGGACAACCTCCCACACCCCTATGCCATTGCTGTCTTTAAGGTGAGGACTCATCTATTCTCAGATGGGGAACTCTGTCAGAGTAGGGGAAGAGCCCCCTGACGTGAAGAACCTACTGTCTCTGAGTTTTTGCAGAGATGCTTGTCTGACTTCTAGAAAATCAGCTCATTTTTGAATTTGGGACAGAAATTTATTTCAGCCTTTATGGAGGGGTGCCGACAGAGGTGCCAGGGGCCCAGGGTGCTCACTGTTCACATTTCAAAGGGTTAAAGGTTGAAGTTACTTCATATGAAATCCCCAGTGTGTCCTTCAGTGTTGGTGGCCTTGTTTTGGCTTCATTTCTTGTGAGGTTTTCTCGCTTCTTTCTGTAATGGCTTTAGAAGAGCCCTGCACCACCTATGTTGACAATCACTTCTGCTGTCACTCTAGAGAACAAAAGTTTCTTCCCAACACTGAGAAGCAGATTTCCAACGGAAGGGTTGGGCTCATGGTCAAACTTGAATGCTTATCTTATAGTTTCCTTTGGGCAGTTCCTTCAGTGTGGATATTTGGTGAGGTTTAGATAAAATCACTGTCTCTTACATTTAAGTGGAATCTTGATCAGGCCAATTGTTCAACCAATGCATACTAGGTGTCCACTGCATGGCAGAGCTGTGGTTCTTACTGAGGGTCTAGAATAAAAGTCTGCAGAGCTGGACTAAAGAGCAAAGGTTTTTTTT